TCAAGAAGAGTGAGCGCTCGCAGCCGCTTAAATGAAAGCAACACCCTACCAGCCACTTACTTATCGAACAAGCACGAATTGGCAAACACCGACTGCTTGTTCGACGACGCAGTGGCGCATGGCATATGTTGCTATTCTCTTGTGCGTACATAGAAGCGGAACTGGGAAACACTGACTCGAATCACTGGCAGAGTTTCACAGTAACCACGGAAGCAATAGCGATTTAGATGATGGAAAGACCCCAGGAGAGAAAGGTGACAGTCAGTGTGATCGTAGACTAGACGATTGCACCTACATTACGTCTTGGTACTAGTCCTGTACCTCCACCTCTCCACCCACTGAAACGGTTCCAAAATTTACGCCATATTTCAACAGTACAAAGCACTAATTTCTGTGTTGCCGTAGTGGTGCCTATTTCATGAATCATTTGAAATAATTACACACTCAATTAAATTCAAAGTTAGCTACATACCGCAATAGGAGTTTTCTGTGGGAACAGTGCACAACATAATGGAGTTGAGAACGTCAAGAAGAAACCGCACATAAGCGTTTGAATTGGAGCAGCCATCCATGGCTAAAAGAAAATCGTAAAGTGAGAATGCATTCATTTCTGAAAATACATGAGATAAGTTGTCTGGATGCATGTTGAAATTGTAGCCCAATTCATAGCCCAGTTATGGTCGAAGAAAATCGGAATCTATCCCTTTGCTGGGTTTGAATCTTCCTTCCTCAACTGCGTTAACGTTGATCGTGACTATAGTTAGAGCCACTCCGCCCAGCTGGTTACCAATTACGGCTCTAACCAAGGGAGGAAACTTGTGCTTCAAAGGATATCATGCTACTAGGTTTTTAGGAAGGCTTTTAATCCAAACAGACAATGGTACAGGAATATTACGGTATTGAAATAATATTGCGCAGTTTTTCATTCGACCTATGATCGAAGCAATCCTATGAAGCTCTCAAAAGGAAAAAGCTATCCGTAACATTCCAATAACATTGCCTTCTCCGGATTCTCAATCGGCATGGTTGTACACCACAGCCGTTAACGGCACAATGGAGCACATCCTATGGAGGTACGTGAAATGAGGAGGAACGAATTAAAGGTGCGGCTGCTATGCAAATTTGATTACTTTGGGAGTGAAAATGATTCTCCGTCAAAGTTGTGTTTCATTTCTATTTCATAATGCTCATATAATTCCGCAGCTCCTCATTCGTGATACTTTTCATAGGACATATATGTGAAGTTGCATCTGAGCAAAACCACTGTAACTAATTAGATAAAGAAAATAGTAATGAGGGAATCAACAAGAAACCCTCTCTGAAGAAAAACTCCAAAAAGTTGATACTAAGATTAAAGAAGGGATTTAATGCAACGTACCTTATACGATCGCATTTTCATGATTCTTTGGAAAATAATTGGGCCGAGCACTGAAAAGAAATGACATTACGAGAATCACTTCAAATGTACCAAAAGGGGTAAGAGTATTTCGAGTGAAAGATCAAGAACGAGAACATTCGCACTTCTGCATAATATTTAACCGATAATAAATGGCCTATTGTCTGAAGTAATGTACAGTTAACCGCCATGTGTGGAATTAATCATTAGAAAAGAAAGTATTACACAGAACTGACACGTTCGAAAAATATGGCGATTCCGGGACAATTAAAAATGAACATCAAGGAACGTACCCATGCTTGGGGTGGCCATACCAATTCGACTGATTGTCACTTGTGGAATGGCTTTGTAGGGTACGGCCAACGACGATCCTAACACTTCTCCATTTTCATCTTCGACAGGAATTCCAACGACGAACTCACTACAATCATTAGTTGCTTAAACAAAATTTGGAACAACAAAAAACATTAACACAGTTTTTTTTATCAAGGACTCCTTTCACTAGCAGCTTTCGTCAGAAAACTTATGGTCTCCGTTCCATGCGACTCTGCAAGCTGCAGTCAGCCAGCTGAGATAAGCCTCATCGTTTCATAGTAGGATCACCATCTATCACCTATTCGCGCCGATAGCCGTCTAATCTAGAGTAGATGCGCCAAACACCTCCAATGCGATTTATGCCACGGAAAGAATGTTCGTGAGTGCTATGATACCGTTTAAAAAAATCGTTTACGAAAAAAAAACCGCGGTGTACGTTGCGTATGAGGCGATAAACTGCGCTGAACTTACATGATACTTGGAAATCCACGGAAACTGAGAGCTCGAAAAGTCCTTCTGAGAAAAACTCACTTGCTCCTCATCATTGGGATATTTATAGCGTTTGCAGCTGCTACGGCTAGGAATGGTACTAGCGCGCCAACGAGTCTAGGCACATTCTGCAACAAAAAATACTGCGTTCAAAATGCGTAGCTGAAATTTTCGAAAACAAAGTGGACTTCTAGCACATACATAATTCGAATTACTCAAATAAGATTTTCCTGTTTTCAAAAGTATCACCTTCATTTTTGCCAGCATCCGATTCGCACCAAGAGCGG